AGGGGCAGAGGCAGGGGCAGAGGCAGAGGCAGGGCAGAGGCAGAGGCAGAGGCAGAGGCCAGAGGCAGGGGCAGAGGCAGGGGCAGAGGCAGAGGCAGGGGCAGAGGCAGAGGCAGGGGCAGAGGCAGAGGCAGAGGCAGAGGCAGAGGCAGAGGCAGAGGCAGAGGCAGGGGCAGAGGCAGGGGCAGAGGCAGAGGCAGGGGCAGAGGCAGAGGCAGAGGCAGGGGCAGAGGCAGGGGCAGAGGCAGAGGAAGGGGCAGAGGCAGAGGCAGGGGCAGAGGCAGAGGCAGAGGCAGAGGCAGAGGCAGAGGCAGGGGCAGAGGCAGGGGCAGAGGCAGAGGCAGGGGCAGAGGCAGAGGCAGGGGCAGAGGCAGAGGCAGGGGCAGAGGCAGAGGCAGGGGCAGAGGCAGAGGCAGGCGCAGAGGCAGAGGCAGGGGCAGAGGCAGAGGCAGGGCAGAGGCAGAGGCAGAGGCAGAGGCAGGGCAGAGGCAGAGGCAGGGCAGAGGCAGAGGCAGAGGCAGAGGCAGAGGCAGGGGCAGAGGCAGAGGCAGAGGCAGGGGCAGAGGCAGGGGCAGAGGCAGAGGCAGGGGCAGAGGCAGAGGCAGGGGTAGAGGCAGAGGCAGAGGCAGAGGCAGGGGCAGAGGCAGAGGCAGGGGCAGAGGCAGGGGCAGAGGCAGAGGCAGGGGCAGAGGCAGAGGCAGAGGCAGGGGCAGAGGCAGGGGCAGAGGCAGAGGCAGGGGCAGAGGCAGAGGCAGGGGCAGAGGCAGAGGCAGGGCAGAGGCAGAGGCAGGGCAGAGGCAGAGGCAGGGCAGAGGCAGGGCAGAGGCAGAGGCAGGGCAGAGGCAGAGGCAGAGGGCAGAGGCAGAGGCAGGGGCAGAGGCAGAGGCAGGGGCAGAGGCAGAGGCAGGGGCAGAGGCAGAGGCAGGGCAGAGGCAGAGGCAGGGCAGAGGCAGAGGCAGAGGCAGAGGCAGAGGCAGAGGCAGAGGCAGAGGCAGAGGCAGAGGCAGAGGCAGAGGCAGAGGCAGAGGCAGAGGCAGGCAGAGGCAGAGGCAGGGCAGAGGCAAGGGCAGGGCAGAGGCAGAGGCAGGGCCAGAGGCAGAGGCAGGGGCAGAGGCAGAGGCAGGGCAGAGGCAGAGGCAGAGGCAGAGGCAGAGGCAGGGCAGAGGCAGAGGCAGAGGCAGAGGCAGAGGCAGAGGCAGGGGCAGAGGCAGAGGCAGGGGCAGAGGCAGGGGCAGAGGCAGAGGCAGAGGCAGGGCAGAGGCAGGGGCAGAGGCAGAGGCAGGGCAGAGCAGAGGCAGAGGCAGAGGCAGAGGCAGGGGCAGAGGCAGAGGCAGAGCAGAGGCAGGGGCAGAGGCAGAGGCAGGGGCAGAGGCAGGGGCAGAGGCAGAGGCAGGGCAGAGGCAGAGGCAGAGGCAGGGGCAGAGGCAGGGGCAGAGGCAGAGGCAGGGGCCAGAGGCAGAGGCAGAGGCAGGGGCAGAGGCAGGGGCAGAGGCAGAGGCAGGGGCAGAGGCAGGGCAGAGGCAGAGGGCAGAGGCAGAGGCAGAGGCAGGGGCAGAGGCAGGCAGGGGCAGAGGCAGAGGCAGAGGCAGGGGCAGAGGCAGAGGGGCAGAGGCAGAGGCAGAGGCAGAGGCAGGGGCAGAGGCAGAGGCAGGGGCAGAGGCAGAGGCAGGGGCAGAGGCAGAGGCAGGGGCAGAGGCAGAGGCAGGGGCAGAGGCAGAGGCAGAGGCAGAGGCAGAGGCAGGGGCAGAGGCAGAGGCAGAGGCAGGGGCAGAGGCAGAGGCAGGGGCAGAGGCAGAGGCAGAGGCAGAGGCAGAGGCAGGGCAGAGGCAGAGGCAGGGGCAGAGGCAGAGGCAGAGGCAGAGGCAGAGGCAGAGGCAGAGGCAGGGGCAGAGGCAGAGGCAGGGGCAGAGGCAGAGGCAGGGGCCAGAGGCAGAGGCAGAGGCAGAGGCAGAGGCAGAGGCAGAGGCAGGGGCAGAGGCAGAGGCAGGGGCAGAGGCAGAGGCAGAGGCAGAGGCAGAGGCAGAGGCAGAGGCAGGCAGAGGCAGAGGCAGAGGCAGAGGCAGGGCAGGCAGAGGCAGAGGCAGGGGCAGAGGCAGAGGCAGAGGCAGAGGCAGAGGCAGAGGCAGAGGCAGGGGCAGAGGCAGAGGCAGAGGCAGAGGCAGAGGCAGGGGCAGAGGCAGAGGCAGGGGCAGAGGCAGAGGCAGGGGCAGAGGCAGAGGCAGAGGCAGAGGCAGAGGCAGGGGCAGAGGCAGAGGCAGGGCAGGCAGAGGCAGGGGCAGAGGCAGAGGCAGGGGCAGAGGCAGAGGCAGGGGCAGAGGCAGAGGCAGGGGCAGAGGCAGAGGCAGGGCAGAGGCAGAGGAGGGCAGAGGCAGAGGCAGGGGCAGAGGCAGAGGCAGAGGCAGAGGCAGAGGCAGGGGCAGAGGCAGAGGCAGAGGGCAGAGGCAGAGGCAGGGGCAGGGGCAGAGGCAGGCAGAGGCAGGGGCAGAGGCAGAGGCAGGGGCAGAGGCAGAGGCAGAGGCAGGGCAGAGGCAGAGGCAGGGGCAGAGGCAGAGGCAGGGCAGGGCAGAGGCAGAGGCAGGGGCAGAGGCAGAGGCAGGGGCAGAGGCAGAGGCAGGGCAGAGGCAGAGGCAGGGGCAGGCAGAGGCAGAGGCAGAGGCAGAGGCAGAGGCAGGGGCAGAGGCAGAGGCAGGCGCAGAGGCAGAGGCAGGGGCAGAGGCAGAGGCAGGGGCAGAGGCAGAGGCAGGGGCAGAGGCAGAGGCAGGGGCAGAGGCAGAGGCAGAGGCAGAGGCAGAGGCAGGGGCAGGGGCAGAGGCAGAGGCAGGGGCAGAGGCAGGGGCAGAGGCAGAGGCAGAGGCAGAGGCAGAGGCAGAGGCAGGGGCAGAGGCAGATGCAGGGGCAGAGGCAGAGGCAGAGGCAGAGGCAGGGGCAGAGGCAGAGGCAGGGGCAGAGGCAGAGGCAGGGGCAGGGGCAGAGGCAGAGGCAGGGGCAGAGGCAGAGGCAGGGGCAGAGGCAGAGGCAGAGGCAGAGGCAGAGGCAGAGGCAGGGGCAGAGGCAGAGGCAGGGGCAGAGGCAGAGGCAGGGGCAGAGGCAGAGGCAGGGGCAGAGGCAGAGGCAGGGGCAGAGGCAGAGCAGAGGCAGAGGCAGAGGCAGAGGCAGAGGCAGAGGCAGAGGCAGAGGCAGGGGCAGAGGCAGAGGCAGGGGCAGGGGCAGAGGCAGAGGCAGGGGCAGAGGCAGAGGCAGGGGCAGAGGCAGAGGCAGAGGCAGAGGCAGAGGCAGGCAGGGCAGAGGCAGAGGCAGGGGCAGAGGCAGAGGCAGGGGCAGAGGCAGAGGCAGGGGCAGAGGCAGAGGCAGGGGCAGAGGCAGAGGCAGGGGCAGAGGCAGAGGCAGAGGCAGAGGCAGAGGCAGAGGCAGGGCAGAGGCAGAGGCAGGGGCAGAGGCAGAGGCAGGGGCAGAGGCAGAGGCAGAGGGCAGAGGCAGAGGCAGGGGCAGAGGCAGAGGCAGAGGCAGAGGCAGAGGCAGAGGCAGAGGCAGAGGCAGGGGCAGAGGCAGAGGCAGAGGCAGAGGCAGAGGCAGAGGCAGAGGCAGAGGCAGAGGCAGGGGCAGAGGCAGAGGCAGAGGCAGAGGCAGAGGCAGAGGCAGAGGCAGGGGCAGAGGCAGAGGCAGGGGCAGAGGCAGAGGCAGGGGCAGAGGCAGAGGCAGGGGCAGAGGCAGAGGCAGGGGCAGAGGCAGAGGCAGGGGCAGAGGCAGAGGCAGAGGCAGAGGCAGAGGCAGGGGCAGAGGCAGAGGCAGGGGCAGAGGCAGAGGCAGGGGCAGAGGCAGAGGCAGGGGCAGAGGCAGAGGCAGGGGAGAGGCAGAGGCAGGGCAGAGGCAGAGGCAGAGGCAGAGGCAGAGGCAGAGGCAGAGGCAGGGGCAGAGGCAGAGGCAGGGGCAGAGGCAGAGGCAGGGGCAGAGGCAGAGGCAGAGGCAGAGGCAGAGGCAGGGGCAGAGGCAGAGGCAGGGGCAGAGGCACAGGCAGGGGCAGAGGCAGAGGCAGGGGCAGAGGCAGAGGCAGGGGCAGAGGCAGAGGCAGGGGCAGAGGCAGAGGCAGGGGCAGAGGCACAGGCAGGGGCAGGGGCAGAGGCAGAGGCAGGGGCAGAGGCAGGGGCAGAGGCAGAGGCAGAGGCAGAGGCAGAGGCAGAGGCAGGGGCACAGGCAGAGGCACAGGCAGGGGCAGAGGCAGAGGCAGGGGCAGAGGCAGAGGCAGGGGCAGAGGCAGAGGCAGGGGCAGAGGCAGAGGCACAGGCAGAGGCACAGGCAGGGGCAGAGGCAGAGGCAGGGGCAGAGGCAGAGGCAGGGGCAGAGGCAGAGGCAGGGGCAGAGGCAGAGGCACAGGCAGAGGCACAGGCAGGGGCAGAGGCAGAGGCAGGGGCAGAGGCAGAGGCAGGGGCAGAGGCAGAGGCAGGGGCAGAGGCAGAGGCACAGGCAGAGGCACAGGCAGGGGCAGAGGCAGAGGCAGGGGCAGAGGCAGAGGCAGGGGCAGAGGCAGAGGCAGGGGCAGAGGCACAGGCAGGGGCAGAGGCAGAGGCAGGGGCAGAGGCAGAGGCAGGGGCAGAGGCAGAGGCAGGGGCAGAGGCACAGGCAGGGGCAGAGGCAGAGGCAGGGGCAGAGGCACAGGCAGGGGCAGAGGCAGAGGCAGGGGCAGAGGCAGAGGCAGGGGCAGAGGCAGAGGCAGGGGCAGAGGCAGAGGCAGGGGCAGAGGCAGAGGCAGGGGCAGAGGCAGAGGCAGGGGCAGAGGCAGAGGCAGGGGCAGAGGCAGAGGCAGGGGCAGAGGCAGAGGCACAGGCAGAGGCACAGGCAGGGGCATAGGCAGAGGCAGGGGCAGAGGCACAGGCAGGGGCAGAGGCAGAGGCAGGGGCAGAGGCACAGGCAGGGGCAGAGGCAGAGGCAGGGGCAGAGGCACAGGCAGGGGCAGAGGCAGAGGCAGGGGCAGAGGCACAGGCAGACAGAAAAAGCGCTGACACTTACCGTGGGGAAGAGGCCTTTAGTGCGCAGCCCTTTGGTCTTGGGCGGCTTAATGGCTTTCCACACTGCCTTCATCCCCGGTCCCTCTATCACCGCCTTCCGCACCTCCCCGCCCTGCTGCTCCCCTCGCACCCCCCGCCCCTGCTGTGGCTGCTGTATGAGCCGCTGTGGCTCGTCTGCAAGGGTGCTCACTGTGTTGCTGCGACAGGGCAACGGAACCATGGGGAACACGGACAGACGGACGGAGGCATGGAGACCAGGCGGGCAGGGGTGAGGTGATTCGGTGAGTGTAATGGTGGCAGTGTGGTGATAAGGCGGGGACGGGATAATCTGACTGACAGTCGAGGCAAAGACGGCAGGGCGTCTTGCTGAGACTGTGTGTGTGAGAGAGTGGGAGGGACCGTCTTTGAGTCAACTCTAAAAACAGGCTCATGCTGAGACTGTGTGTGTGAGAGCGTGGGAGAGAACTGTGTAGAACCCACACCCGTGGAAGAGGGAGAGAGTGGAAGCAAGTGCTGATTACAGCACGAGGCGGGTGAATGGGTTGTGGGGGAAGAGGGGGTAGGGGTGGAAAAGGGGACCGCGGGGGGTGCGGGAGGGGGTTGGGGGTAAGGGGGAGGGGGCAAAGGGAAGGAAGACGAGGGATGGCTGATGGAAAGCAGAAGGGAGGAGAACCAGATCAGAGCCCATGGCATGGCATGGCAGGGCATGCACAGGCGTTAACCCGGCATGTTGTTCCCTTGCCTGGGCGAACGGTGCTCGCCCTTTCTGATGTTAGCTGCGATGACGCAGAGCATGTAGGCACAGCGGGCAGCAGCACGCAGAGGCAGCAGTAAGCAGAGGCAGCACGCAGAGGCAGCGGCACACACACACACACCTGAGGAGAGGCACGGCAGTGTCGTTGGCTTGAGAGGGCGGAGTGAGCTCGTCCAGCCCATTCCGTGACACGATGAAGTCCCCCAGGAAAGGCTGCGGCACGTACAGGGCAATCCCGCCCTGCGCCCCGCCCCCTTGCGCCGCCCGCTCGCCCTCCAGGCGGAATGGCGCGCAGGCGTAAGTGCCTGGGGGAAGGGGGGAGAGGGAGGAGGGGGGAGAGGAGTGGGGGAAATAGAGTGGAGGGCGTCACGGGGAAGCTGTAGAGCAAAGTAGGCAAGCTTACACAGGCAGTAGTGAAGGTTACTCGGGGGGTAGCCCAGGTTACTCGGTAATGTACCCAGTGCTAATTAAGGTGTATCCAAGGTTACTCACGGTGTAACCAGGTCTGATGAGGCAGAGAGGCACGGTACCTGGCCTGAGGGCGGGGCAGAGAGGCATGGTACCAGGCCTGAGGGCGGGGCAGAGAGGCACGGTACCTGGCCTGAGGGCGGGGCAGAGAGGCACGGTACCTGGCATGAGGGCGGGGCAGAGAGGCACGGTACCTGGCCTGAGAGCGGGGCAGAGAGGCACGGAACCTATCCTGAGGGCGGGGCAGAGAGGCACGGTACCTGGCCTGAGGGCGGGGCAGAGAGGCACGGTACCTGGCATGAGGGCGGGGCAGAGAGGCACGGTACCTGGCCTGAGGGCGGGGCAGAGGGCACGGTACCTGGCCTGAGAGCGGGGCAGAGAGGCACGGTACCTGGCCTGAGGGCGGGGCAGAGAGGCACGGTACCTGGCCTGAGGGCGGGGCAGAGGCACGGTACCTGGCCTGAGGGCGGGGCAGAGAGGCACGGTACCTGGCCTGAGGGCGGGGCAGAGAGGCACGGTACCTGGCCTGAGGGCGGGGCAGAGAGGCACGGTACCTGGCCTGAGGGCGGGGCAGAGGGCACGGTACCTGGCCTGAGAGCGGGGCAGAGAGGCACGGTACCTGGCCTGAGGGCGGGGCAGAGAGGCACGGTACCTGGCCTGAGGGCGGGGCAGAGAGGCACGGTACCTGGCATGAGGGCGGGGCAGAGAGGCACGGTACCTGGCCTGAGGGCGGGGCAGGGAGGCACGGTACCTGGCCTGAGGGCGGGGCAGAGAGGCACGGCCTGAGGGCGGGGCAGAGAGGCACGGTACCTGGCCTGGGGGCGGGGCAGAGAGGCACGGTACCTGGCCTGAGGGCGGGGCAGAGAGGCACGGTACCTGGCCTGAGGGCGGGGCAGAGAGGCACGGTACCTGGCCTGAGGGCAGGGCAGGGAGGCACGGTACCTGGCCTGAGGGCGGGGCAGAGAGGCACGGTACCTGGCCTGAGGGCGGGGCAGAGAGGCACGGTACCTGGCCTGAGGGCGGGGCAGAGAGGCACGGTACCTGGCCTGAGGGCGGGGCAGAGAGGCACGGTACCTGGCCTGAGGGCGGGGCAGAGAGGCACGGTACCTGGCCTGAGGGCGGGGCAGAGAGGCACGGTACCTGGCCTGAGGGCGGGGCAGAGAGGCACGGTACCTGGCCTGAGGGCGGGGCAGAGAGGCACGGTACCTGGCCTGAGGGCGGGGCAGAGAGGCACGGTACCTGGCCTGAGGGCGGGGCAGAGAGGCACGGTACCTGGCCTGAGGGCGGGGCAGAGAGGCACGGTACCTGGCCTGAGGGCGGGGCAGAGAGGCACGGTACCTGGCCTGAGGGCGGGGCAGAGAGGCACGGTACCTGGCCTGAGGGCGGGGCAGACAGGCACGGTACCTGGCCTGAGGGCGGGGCAGAGAGGCACGGTACCTGGCCTGAGAGCGGGGCAGAGAGGCACGGTACCTGGCCTGAGGGCGGGGCAGAGAGGCATGGTACCTGGCCTGAGGGCGGGGCAGAGAGGCACGGTACCTGGCCTGAGGGCGGGGCAGAGGCACGGTACCTGGCCTGAGGGCGGGGCAGAGAGGCACGGTACCTGGCCTGAGGGCGGGGCAGAGGCACGGTACCTGGCCTGAGGGCGGGGCAGAGAGGCACGGTACCTGGCCTGAGGGCGGGGCAGAGAGGCACGGTACCTGGCCTGAGGGCGGGGCAGAGGCACGGTACCTGGCCTGAGGGCGGGGCAGAGAGGCACGGTACCTGGCCTGAGGGCGGGGCAGAGGCACGGTACCTGGCCTGAGGGCGGGGCAGAGAGGCACGGTACCTGGCCTGAGGGCGGGGCAGAGAGGCACGGTACCTGGCCTGAGGGCGGGGCAGAGAGGCACGGTACCTGGCCTGAGGGCGGGGCAGAGAGGCACGGTACCTGGCCTGAGGGCGGGGCAGGGAGGCACGGTACCTGGCCTGAGGGCGGGGCAGAGGCACGCATTGCGGTAGAGCATGCCGAAGGGCTCGCAGCTCACGTCCATGACTCCAGGCACAGCCGGCCTGCCCTGGTTGGCGTTTCGCCCTTGGGATTCCCCGTCCCCTGCGAGCAGCACAGGGGCAAGGAGAGAGAGAGAGAGGCAGAGACGTAGAACGGTATTAACAGTAAGACGGGAGGGACGCAGAGCGGCAGGCCGTGGAAACGACAGGCCAGACAGATGATACATCAAGCATGCAAACTAGTAGCCCTATAACGAGAACGCCAGCTCAACGCTAAAACTAATCCGACGCTGTCTACCTTCCTCCTTGCACCATTGCCCGTGTCAAGCCCAGGGAGGTAGGTTCGTTCGCCCTCTGCCGAGCCATCAGCAAGAAACAGAGCCCTGGATTCCGGGTGCTTCGAAACAGAGCCCTAACTGTGAGGCGCCTCAGAATCAGCCGCCTGGATCAGCGGCTTACAATGTAAGCCCCTGATGCCACTCGCTTGCTGCAGCAAGAGTCCACACTCCCTCGCGCTCCTCTACACACCTTCACGCTCCAACCCTTTAACACTAACACACGACAATGCACCAGCGGCAACTCCTACCCTGCATTTCGCTCCCTGCTTTTTCCTCCCTGACTCCGCCATTTCCGACCTTTTTACGTTTTTTCGCCTCGCCTCGCAACGTCTGGCACCGATCGCGCTCACTCGTACCGTCTCGCACTCTTTCGCCCCGTCTCGCACTGTTTCGCATCGGATCGCATCATCTCTCATCCCTTCGCATCGTTTCGCACCGCGCCTCTCCTCTCAAAGAGCACACAGTGCACAACAGCAGCGCGCTCGCTCAACTGCCTGGAATAAACCACACAGCGGAGAGGCCTGGCAGCTTGCTGGGACAACCAATCACGACTGATGACAATCACTCGAAAGCGATACACCAGGCCCCAGACATTCACCAGGCCCCAGACATTCACCAGGCCGCAGACTTTCTACGCCCAGGCGAATATAGGGAACGTGCATCGGCCAGTGACTCACCTGCACCCTCTGCCGCGTCGCTTCGACCTCCCACTCCCTTCCCCGCCACATTTCCGCGCTCCTTCTGGAACAGCAACGACACGCGCTTGCACGACTCCGCTATTGTCACACACCGCTGCACGCCCGCGCTATCTTCGCACTCCAACTCACTCGATCCCCCATCGTCCCCCTCGTTTCTCCCCCCTGAGCCTCCCCCGCTCCGAACTTCCGCACTGTTAGGCCGACCGGGACCGAGCCCCTGGGCGCTTGGGAGGGCGACGTCGCGACCCTGACTGCCATTCAGCCGGCGACAGTTTAGAAGTGACGGCTTGCAGGCAGATAACTGCTGCTTGCAGACGACCAGCGCCGCTTCCAGCCGGCGATGCAGAGGGAGCTGATCAAACCCGCGGGACGCTAACCGCGTTGACCCTTGCTTCTTACGCGATATAAGGACGCCCGCTGCTTGTTGACGACTTCTACGAAGAAGACCGGTTTCGGATAAGTCGGACGGTGCCTGGCCCGAATGCTCCTGTATAAGCGGCTCCGGTTGTGGCCACAGTGATCCAGGCTGCGTTTCGCCGATCCACGCGGAGCGAATCACGTCGCGAAACATAAGAACGCCCAGCAGGCTTAACGAAACGGCCACGAGGAAGAGAAATTGCGGCATAGACATGCGCAGCAGCAAGGCGATCGGATTCCGGCTCTGGTTCATATGCAGGCTCGTCTTCGACGCAGTCCGCGTGAAGTTTATTTTTGGCTGCCCGAGATGCGAGGGAGTGTTGGCTCCTGAAGCACTTCCGGAAGGTACAGTCAGCATGGGTCCCCCTCCTGCCGCTGCATTGGTTAGCGGCAGAGCGTTGTTGCCGCCGCACGCCGAGATGCCATCCAGCGTGCAGCCGGATGCGAGGCTCGCGACGTCCGACGACACGGTAACCCATGGATTCTTCCCGTTCACGCTTCGCGATCGTGCCGCCTGCATGCTTCGCGAGGCGGGTGGCGTCAGATGATAACCGCACCCGCTGCGGATCACGCTTCTCTAAAGGATATCCCGACCAATACCTCCAAGTGCCGATCGATGACGCGATTCGACGGCGAGAACAAGAGAGATCAATGCTGGTCAGCTCGAGACAGATGCTGGTGAAACACGGACGTTTACTATGGACCTAATATCTGCTATTACCTATGCGGTCTGTATGGTAACCAGTCGTTAAGTAGGAATGGTTCCATGGCGGAGTACCGTGAATCTGATACGATCCAGTCACAGAATCCGGATGCGTAAATCTAGGGCTGAGGTGAGGTGAATCCGAACGACCTAAATCAGCGCAGCGAAACAGAACAGGTCGGACACGAGAAACAGCAAGTGCCTGGACGATATTTAGCAGCGGTCTACATAGGAGTAAGAGGCGTCCGAACACGCATACTAATTCGAGAGGGTCGAGCTGGACGGCTTAGATGGTATCAAGGAGAAGGGGATTAGGCAAGTTTGATGAAACCAGATTCGAAGAGTTTCTTAGGGGGGAAACGTGATCTAGCTCGAAAAACAGGAATTATAAGCCTCGGGAAAACGCCTCTGTTCGAGGGACCACCGTAGTGCAACACCCAGAATCCTACTAAAACACATTGCACACCGTGTTCAACCTCGAAAAGAGGCCCTGAGGGCGGGGTAAGCGCGTTCGTTTACAGTTTCAGTACAGTTCATTCTGAGCGGTTCCTCCTGTTTCGTCACGGTTTAAAACGGTTTATCTTTAAAACCGCTCTAAACCAGTTGGAATCTTTTTGCGCCACGACAGATGAACTGTACAGCTAGGAAAAATGAACGCGCTGACCCCGCCCTCAGCTGATACCACGGCTATAACCTTCTCAGGGCTGGAACCAGACGTCTGTTTCAGATGTATGAGCTCAAAGTTCTGACATATCTGGGTGGGAGCGGTGCGGTGTGGAGGGTGGACCTAGGGATCCTGGGAATTTGCAAATTTGCAACAACCCCGAACACTCACCAACAAAGACCCCACCAACACACCACCCATGTTCGCCACCGTTGCGGATGTGTTTCGCTAGCGAGGCTGCGAACATCGCACGGACGTCGATTGGCATTGGTGGCACCCTGTTTGTGGCTGCGAGAGGCGGGCAGACCAAAACCACGAGGACATGGGAGCCGTGCGTCTATTGAACGAAGCCTCTGACAACAATCCCTCGTGACCAGTCTCGAGGATGGTGGGGGCATTCGCTGTGGTCGCGCTAGAGATGAGCCAGCCACACTTCTGGCGCGAAGCATGGAACCCCAAAGATGATCAGAACCGAGCTTTGTTTCCGTAACATGACATACAGCGACAAAGGGTGATAAATACAGGAGAGGTATAATGAAGTGAAAATAAATCATTCTCTTGACCCACCTCCAAAGTATACAACTGACCTCGACCGGTCTTTGCCCCAACTGTGCACCAACATTTGCCAAACCTTGGTTCTCCGTGTAAGGCCGCGTCGGCCTACTCTTTGAGAATAGCCCGGACCATGTTTCAAGCATTGCTTGCAAAGCCTAACCAGTTCTCATGCGTTCATAAACCATATTTTTCGCTATTCAATTTCTGCGACAGTGCAACCCTTGCTCGATCATTCCATTGCACATGTAACCAAAATGTACATGACCAGAGCACGATGAATGCGCTGCACGCTCACCAACAATCTTTGGCTGTACGCAATGTCGATCTTGTAGGCAAGATCTCGTTTTCCAACAAAAAAAACCTTGCATAGTGTACTACCGTATTGCATTGCATCTATGATGTGCATACAATAAAGATACAAACACATTGCATGGTTGAGCTTCGAGAGCGTCAAGTCACAAATGGGGTTAACAATGTATTGCGGCATCGTTAACCAGCACCTTTTGCCCCTCTCAGCTCTTTCCTCCAGCCGCCAGAACTCCTGAACGAGGAGACAAGGGAGTGTGGAAGAAGGGTAGCGCGAGGTTGGCAGGGAGAGGCATGGCAAGCAGGGGACAAGATACGTTAAAGAAGAGAGAAGATGAGTCTACATGGTAGATGCTCAAGAGCGAGCAGGGTTGGATGATATGAGAGGTGTGGCACAGCAGTGAGAATGAACAACAATGGCGTTGCCTTTGAACGGTGCACTGCCTTGGACTGCCACGCCTCTCACAATCAACCTGACAAGACCATCCGCTCCGCTATAAAACACACCGCCCTGCAAGGCACACTGGCCGTACACAATCACCCACCCATGCGACAACCACGCATTCGCGCCCCCCCCCCCCCCCACTCGCAATCAACTCCCTCTAAATCCCCACCGCACCACACGACTCACCATCCCGGGGATCATCCGTAAGATCATTGAATGTCTCTAGAGCGTTGCGTGCCAGGGACTTGAGCTGGTAGTCCACCAGCACCAATTTTTGAGGCGCCTCAAAAACCACCACATGACACTTACCATCCCGGGGATCATCCGTGAGATCATTGAACGTCTCTAGAGCGTTACGTGCAAGGGACTTGAGCTGGTAGTCCACCAGCACCAGCACCTCACTGTCCGCCTCCACTCGCCCCTCCACACCCACCCCTGCCGCCACCACGCGCATCTCGCGCTCCCACACGGACCCCTCGGCCCACAGCTCGGCGAAGTACTCCTCCTTGTACAGCTTGTAGACTGCCAGGAGCGGGTCGAAGAAGTGCACGTCCCGCTCGTTGGTCGCGATGTACAGCGTGCTGCCCGGGGGGATTCGCTAAGGGAGCTTCTGCAGAAGGCTGGGGGAGAGGGGAGGGGGTGGCGTGGGGGAGGGGAGGGGCCGGCGTGGGGGAGGCGAGGGGGTGGCATGGGGGAGGGGAGGGGTGGCGTGGGGGAGGGGAGGGGTGGCGTGGGGGAGGGGAGGGGAGGGGTGGCGTGGGGGAGGGGAGGGGTGGCGTGGGGGAGGAGTGGCATGGGAAAGGGGAGGGGACACAGGGGAGGTGGGTGGTGACGGAGAGGGGGGTGGCATGTGTATGTGACGCACACAGAACCCCATGTCTTCCGCTGACCAGCGCCATCATCATCATCACCAGCAGCACCAGCAGCACGATTCACACCAAAGGCATGCACGGCATGGCACTCACGCCTTAGGTCGCGTGTCGTGGTCGAGATGGGGCCACAGCTTAGGGTTGATCTTGTCCCCGCGCCGCACGTGCACAAAGTCAAACTGCTGCGGGCCGCCCATGGCGTTGGCCATGGTTATTGCGATCTTCACGTGCGGGTCAATGGGGCGCAGAAAGTCCAGGTCTGGTGTTACCACGTCCTGCCAGGTGCGGGGAGCCAGGTGCGGGGATGCAGGTGTGGGGATGCAGGTGCGGGGATGCAGGTGCGGGGATGCAGGTGCGGGGATGCAGGTGCGGGGATGCAGGTGCGGGGATGCAGGTGCGGGGATGCAGGTGCAGGGATGCAGGTGCGGGGAACACAGGTGTATGTGAGTGCGTGTGTGTGGGAACGAAAGAGAGAACCCAGCGGGACCGGTGACTTGGTGTGACGCACGCACGCATTTGCACACTGGCGCTGTCTCATCTTTAACTGTCCCAAAAATGGGAGTGAGCATGGTATATGCAATGTGAAGCATTTACAAAAGGGGACGGGACAAGTGGGGACGGGACAAGTGGGGACGGGATGACTGCAAGACTGAGGCAAAGACGTTTAACTAAAGACGTGTAAGACTAAAGATGTATAACATTTTAATCTCGGCAAGATCTGGATCTGCTGTCGAAAATCTCGGGAGCTGACAGGACTGCACGAAAAGCTGACACAATTCTGCTGGACAACGCATCATAGGGACAGAGTAGAGGGGAGAGGGGAGAGGGGCGAGGGGAGAGGGGAGAGGGGAGAGGGGAGAGGAGAGAGGGGAGAGGGGGGAGAGGAGAAGGGAGAGGGGAGAGGGGAGAGGGGCGAGGGGAGAGAGGAGAGGGGAGAGAGGAGAAGGGAGAGGGGAGAGGGGAGAGGGGAGAGGGGCGAGGGGAGGGGAATGTGTGTTGCAAGTCACACACCTGTATTGAGCACCACACACCTTGACCAGCACAGCACACACAGATAAACCTAACCTTTTGAGTCAACTCAAAAGTCACCTCTAACTGCTCCTCACCTGGAGAGTACACACACGCACGCGCACCTCGTTGCTCTTCTTGTAGCACACCACCACTTGTAACCCCAACTGCTCCCCCCGTGGCACGCACCTGTATTCAGTTCAGCCCCGTGCATGTTGAGCAGCACAGAAGCACACACATAAACCCAAGGTGCGCACCTGGTTGGTCTCCTTGTAGCACACCATGTACCCGAACTGCTGCTCCTGTGGCACGCGCACCACCAGGAACGCGTCCTTGTGCTGCGCGAGCTTGCCCGTGCGCGGGCCCATGTCGAAGTAGAGCGGAGGCACCGTGTGCCATGGGCCAAAGCGCGCCTCAAAGTGCTCCAACAGCATCACTGGCTGCCGGCTGGGGACGCAGGACGGGGGAGGATGGGGAGAGGAAGGGGGGAAGTTGGGGAGAGGACGGGGGGAAGATGGGGAGAGGACGGGGGGAAGTTTGGGAGAGGACGGGGGGAAGATGGGGAGAGGACGGGGGGAAGATGGGGAGAGGACGGGGGGAGGACGGGGAGAGGACGGGGGGGGGAACGGGGGGAGTATGGTATGGGGGGAGGAGAGTGGGGGGGGGGGGGGGGAGACAGGGGGGACTTCACAGTCCGTTTCAGGACCCCGACACAGCACCAGGTATACCACAACGTTGTAGTACAGCCGCACGTGCTTGTGCTCCATGAGCCCGCTCTTGTGAGTCGATTAAAAAGTCACCCCACTCCACTGCATTCCACAGCACCCAGCCACAACCCACCGCGCCCCACCGCACACCACCCCCACCCCACCGCACCACACCCCTCCGCGTCACCTCATCATGTGGGTCAGATTGTAGTGTAGCCCGACGTGCTTGTGCTCCATGAGTCCGCTCTTGGAGTGCGTCTACGCTGCGACAGGCATCTATCCGTCACCAGCACCCGCCCTCACACTGCATGCCCTCATAGCGCCTCTCAGGACCTCTAACACCCCACAGCACCGCACCCCGCCGCAACCCCCCACCCCTCTGTCACCTCATCATGTGGGTCAGATTGTAGTACAGCCCCACGTGCTTGTGCTCCATGAGTCCGCTCTTGGAGTGCGTCTGCGACAGGCATCTATCCGTCACCAGAACCAGCGTGCGCTGCAGCGCCTTCGCCTCGGCCGCCACGCACTTGAGCGTCCACGACCAGTGCGACTGCCCCACGCACCGGTCCCACGTGGGCGACCACACCAGGTAGTACCGCTCGCCAGCCGCCGCTGCTCGTTTCATCTCGCCTCGGTACGCCCGCTGCTGCTGCGGCGACAGCTGCGCCTGCGATGGCTGCGATGGCTGCGGCGGCGCCGCTCCCACCCTCTCCGCGGCGCTGCTGCTTCCGTCGGAAGACCCTTCGGACACTGCTGCGCCCTCTTCGCCGCGCTCTTTATTCTCTCGCGCCTTCGCCTCGTCCACCGCACTCCACGCGACCTGCTGCTGCTCCGTCTGCTGCGGCCACTCCGCTTGATGCTCCTGCTGTTGCTCCCGCTGCCCTTCATTGCCTTGCGCCTTCCCCGCACCTTCCTCCCCTCCGCATTCCATTCCCGCCGTCCGCGCATCACCGGCGTCGGGTCCCGCCTTCCGCCACCCGTGTTCCGCGGACGCCGCGGCCCACCACGCGCCGTCCCCCAGCCGCGCCGGCGAGTTAATTTGCGCGGGCGACGCGATAAATTCCGCCAAGAAAAGCGCCGCAACGGCCGCGAGGAGCATGAGAACAACGAGGCGGTGACTTCCGGCGGGTATCGGCGACGGCCATGAGGACAAAGCCGCCTCCCACGCGGCCGGGGATTTACCGCCGCTAGTTGTACGAGGCATAGTAGCATGATGGCCTTTAGTAGGGCCCTTGGTATGGACGGGCTCGTGTGCTCGCGTGGACGGGGAAAGGGCGTCGCGAGAGTCGAACATCGCGACGTGGCTTCAATTGGGCAGTCGCGCGCAGCAGTCCTAAGGAGAATCGTGAGTCACGATTGGAGGGTAGGTTGGTAAATTGGATACTGTTAGGTGGAGCCTTCGCCGAAATGTCACATCCGATGCTTTGCAAGTCGCAAGCGCAATCTTGAACACGAAATCTACTCACATCACAGCAGCCTACTGGCCCTGTTCTACAGGCAGACGGGCACGGCGTGGAAACGGAAACACAGGAACCCTCATACAGCTTTCGCTTAGAACCGTAACGCCCAACTACCCCGCGAAACCTCACCGGTTTGTGCAAGAAGTTTCTACCTTTCAAGATGTAGGTGTCGGCCCTCCTTCCCGTAACGGAGGGGGGTGTATTCGAAATTGATTTCACACAGTTTAGGTCTACTCGGATATATAGGGGTCTTACGAGAAACTAAAGAACAGCAGCAGTAATAAACTAGCAGTACCAATGTTCACTATCTTGAAATTCCCCACAGCCCTTCGGCATCCTAAAAGTGGAGGCGGTTGGATCATGGCGTTTGAAGTTTGGAGGGCAGAGAACGGATTGCACCTGGACATTTGTTTCCACCTGCACGCCACTGTGCTTCCCGTGAAAAGGGGGTACCACTTGGCGTGGAAACGGAAACAAATATTGCCAGGGATGGAAGGTGGGTACTACCTTCCATTTCGTTATTTCCGTTTCCACACTGGGTTTGTTCTACAGTCATGTGTTTCCGTTTGGCTCGGACGGAAACCATTAGGTTTGACAACCATTTTCGGGCTGACCATGCTATCAAGCCTAAATTGACTGTCGACGGAAGCCCCCCGGAGGATTCTCACGACGGGAACGCTTGCCTGTAGAACAGGGCCACTGAGTCACTGGGTACAGTTTTCTAGGAGTGGAGGGTTTCAAACTTCGACGTGCAAGGATTCACAATTGCAACACATGATGCTTGCCTCTTCGTGATTCTCAGGACGCGTTAAAAGTAGACGGTTGTTGTCAATTGCGATCGATGTGCGGATCGGTTACCCTATTTACTACGCTTTAACTATGCTGAAGTACGCTTTCCTGCCAAAATTTCTGTACAGTTTGCGAATGCGACTGATCACTGATCGCGGGAGATCTGTCAAATCTAAAGGGGCGATCGTTACAACGTCGTGGTCGCCACGTTCCGCCAATCGATCTGCCCACTCAATTGTGGGGCTCGATATTTGCGGACGATCCTGCGATTTTTGCACTTGTATCACATCCTAACTCACAAAGCTTCTGTCCAACTGCTGATCAATTTTGGTTCCTTGGGCAATGACGGCCGTCGGGCTTCTTTGACGGCCCGACTAACTGCCGTCCATGATGCTGCTCAGCCGACAAAATGACCCCTCGACAGAACCACTGCCCCCATGAGGGTAGAGAACACTCGTTTCAACCTTCGGTTTATGTCTGGGATTTGCAAATTGTGGGGGATGCAAGCGAAATGATCCAGCCAGACGCTGTACAGTAATCGTGGTCGCGTAAACTGGGCAACAGGGCAAAGGCAACGCGAATTGCGACATTTTCTTCCTCTCAGCCATAATCAAAATTCAAGGAGTGTAATTTTGTGTTTCCACATTCTTCATAGAACTTCCAGAAAGTTTTTACTGTACTAACTGTCAGTAGAGCTGCACTGTGAGATCCCCGATTGATCCTTGGGGGGTTACAGGCATGTTAGCCTGGGGGGTTATGGGCGCACTGACCCGCTATTGAAACAAGCCCTTTTATCCCAATGGTCTAGTGGTTGGGATTCTGACATGGTATCAGAGCGGTCTCGGGTTCGAATCCCGGTGTATGCACATGCATGCCGTTGCCGCTGTGCTCAGTCCTGGGCCTCCCAGTGTGGGGGGGTGTCAGTAGAGCTGCACTGTGAGATCCCCGATTGATCCTTGGGGGGTTACAGGCATGTTAGCCTGGGGGGTTATGGGCGCACTGACCCGCTACTGAAACAAGCCCTTTTATCCCAATGGTCTAGTGGTTGGGATTCTGACACTAACCCCCCAGGACCGAAGCAACTTCTTCTGTAGTTACAGTGATGGGTTGTGTTATGAATGAACTTGCAGAGTGCGCAGAATATCGAATAACGAGAATGAGAATTACAGAATGAAGAAACAATGAAGTAGCGAGGCCTAAATAGGGGAAGTCCTAGCAAGGCGGAGAGGTTGGGCGAGGATGGCTCGGTGATGGTTGCGATTGGAGCGGAGGCCGACTCGTGTGAATTAAGAAAACAGGAATGAAATGACTAAGTGAAAGTCGGGTACAAAAAGCAAACCCTAGAAAACTGTACCCCATATGTGCTACCCCACTATAGCCTACAGTAGCTATGTCATATAAATCTGACACACCCCCATAGGCAAAGTGGGGGAGAACAAGGGGTCACAGGACCAGTCAAGCAAAGCAAAACAAGCTCAGGGTGGATCACAAAGTCACCACACATTCCGAGCACAAGTTCAAGGCCACAAGGCCAGTTCACATGCAGGATTGCATATATATATATATAAGACTAGACCAGCAAGAGCAGGTGTATATATATATGCAACAGTACAAACAAGGTCAAGGGGTGAGCAAGTGAGGCAAGGTAGGCACAAGACCAAGCTGAGTACAGAAGCGCTGATGATCACAAGGCGCAAGTGCCTTGGTGAAGATATCAGCAGTGTTGGCCTCAGAGGCCACGTACGCAAGCCGCAGCTGACCACGCTGCTGTAGCTCACGAGCAAGGAAGTAGCGGAGAGCAATGTGCTTCGTTCTGTGATCCAGTCTCTGCTCTCGACACAAGGCCAGCATGGCCTTGTTGTCTACGTACAGCACTGGAGGAGAACGAGGCGGCTCTCCGAGGTCAGTCAGCAGGTAGGTGAGCCAGCGAAGCTCCTGTGCAGCCATGGCCCCGGCGTAGATCTCAGCCTCACAACTGGAGCTGAGAACAGAAGACGAGCGGGTAGCCCGCCACGAAACAGAGCCGGAACCAAGGCTGAAGGTGTAACCCTGTGACGACCGCTGCGTAGCCTGGTCGTCAGCCCAAGAAGCGTCTGCGTGCCCAGTGAGGACCACTGGACTCTGCCCTCCAAGCACAAGCCCCATGCCCGACGTACTGCACAAGTAGCGCAACACCCTCTTCGCTGCAGCCATGTGCTCCGGTCCGTGTCTCCCAGGAGCAACATAGCGTGCAAGAATGCTAAGAGGGTACGCAAGGTCAGGTCGTGTGCAGGTCATCAGGTACATGAGGCAGCCAACAAGCTCTGGGTACGGGCCACTCGACTCTACGGACTCATCCGAAGGCAGAGCTGAGAGCGAGTGGCGAGTAGGCAGAGGAGTGGCCTGAGGCGAGGAGTACGTGAAGCCGAAGCGCTGAAGGACCTGCTGCACCATGTGTGACTGAGTCAGGGTAATGGTGCGGCGTGCTCTGTCCCGGGTGATCTGCAAGCCAAGGTAGCTGCGCAGTTCACCCAGGTCTGTGCACGTGTGTCTCTTCTGCAGCTCGGACTTCACGTGGGCGAGTCCAGCAGTGTCAGCTGTGGCGAAGACCAAGTCGTCGACGTACACGAGGATGTAGAACGGCGGCAAAGAAGTGTCGGTGCGCAGAAACAGCGACGGGTCGGCAGTAGAGGGAGCAAACCCAAGAGCCGCAAGTGTAGTCCTCAGTGTGTCGTGCCACTCACGCGGTGCCTGGCGGAGACCGTAGACTGGCCGCCGGAGGCTCCACTGGGTGCCAGGAGGAAAAGACCCAGTGAAGCCAGGTGGGCGACGCAGCCAGATCTCCTCGTGCAGGCTGCCCTGCAAGAAAGCAGTGCTGAAGTCAAGAGAGTGCAGCTCGTAGTCGCGGTGAGCAGCTATGTGCAGCAGTACCCGAAGAGTTGTCATCTTCGGGGTGGGAGAGAAGGTCTGAAAGTAGTCAACTCCCTGCCGCTGACTGAAGCCACGAGCCACGTAACGCGCCTTGAAGACAGGCGGAGAACCCGGCGGCCGCTTCACCCTGAAAATCAACATGCCACTGACGATGTTCGCCCCAGGCGGGGGAACCTCGTCAACGTAGGTGCCTGTGGACTTCCAGGAAGCCATCTCTGCGTCCATAGCTGCCTGCCACTGAGAGGAGTAGGGACCCTCTATCGCCTCCGCGTAAGAGCGCGGAGTCGGGATGTCAAGTGCATCCGGGTCTCCCTCAGGGGTAAGCAGTACGGACACGAGATGAGGTGAAGCAGCAGCCAAACACTGGAACTCCTCCTGCCTGTCCTCAAGGACGTCCGTGCCAAGGGCACACTCACCCCCGACGGACGGAGGACAGACAGACTCAGACTCAGCAACAAGACTAGCAGCGTAGCCTAGACGACAGCGAGCAGCAAAGTCGACGAGCTCAGTAACTAGGGCAGACGCAGCAGTGGACTCAAAGGAAGGGTCAGTGACAACAGTAGCAAGGAGACGCGTGACAGTAGGACTGGCAGCACGAAGAGAGTCCGACTCCGGGTCAGGAAGAGCAGGAAGAGAGGACTCAGGAGGAGAAGGCAAAGGGGCACGCAGAGGAGCAGTGGACGGACGCAGAGACATCCGGTGCGTGCCAGGGACAGGAGGAGGACGCTGACGCGAACCACGACCACTAGTGCGAGCAGCACGGACAGGCGACGCAGGGCGAGACGCTGGCTCAAGACGCTCAGCAAGACCTCCAGTAGGACCAGTGTAGGGAGAAGGAGCAGGCAGTGGGGAGGCCGGCTGTAACTGTAACTGTGACGGGACAAGCTGTGGACACTCTAAGGGAGGAGGAGGACCAGTAGAAGGCGGGAGACCAAGAACC